GCGAGAGTGAGATGAAAAGAGCTGGAAGTGAATCTTGTGGAGTAGGTGGATCCGACCTGGTCCAAAGTGTTCTGGAAGTTGAGCACTCGAGGGATTACATCCCCTACGGGGATGTGCGATTTCGTTATTTTTGCGATTTTCCCATCGGAAAAGAGAGAAAAATCAATTGATAGTTTTTTGCTTTAATATTCAGAAATATTCATGTCATATTTCACCTGAATATTGGGGTTCTTGGAACTACCAAGGGTCATATCTAGTCCCATATCAATCTGGGGAACTTTTTTTTTGTTCAAAATGTCATATCTTGGACCCATCTACCACATACAGTATCTTGAAGCAAATATTTTTCCAAATCCGGGGATTTTTACTGGTAAGAGATTATAAATTGCGTCACTTTTCATATAAAATGAATGTGGGTCTGGCCAGACCCAAGCGCTACGTATATGACAACAGAAAGAAGTGCTAAACGGAGGGTTAAATAAATACGAGTAATGGACAATGCGTCATATTTCGTTATAACCATTGTCTTTGCTATTTTGCTGTTAATATTTGTAACAAAAAAGAGCCGTCGACAGCTGAAAGTGGAACGAATGGCCGTTAAGGAAGCAAATCCAAATCTTCAAGTGCTTAATCGGTTGGTATTTATATTATTTTTTGAGGTAAAAGTGAAAACGAATATCAAATTCATTGTTGATCCATTTTTTATTAGATTGGTGTCTAAGGTTAAAATATACCGCAAAAACTGGCGTCCAATCATTGAACCAAATCCTGAAGCGGATAATGTTGCTGAAAAATTGGCCGAAATGCATGTTATCGATGACAACGCGATTGATGTTGAAATGGCGAATGCTGCCGAAGACGTGTGTATCATCGATGAAAATGAGATGGATGTTGAAATGGTGAATTTTTAGTTTTGATTTTTGATTTTAATAATAATTATAATATCGCTATGTCTGATTTCAATATTGTACCTTAATAACTATAGAACCTTAAATGTGGTACCACAGGAATTTTAATCGAGCACAGATTATAAATCGAGATGAATACAAACCTGTCACCTTTAAAAGAACTATTTTGCGAAAAAATCTGCAAATGACCAAATAGAAAAAAAAGAAAAACTGTATGATTTATTCAGTATTCAAAATTAATATTTAATTCTCTTAGAAACAGCAGCATTATTCTCTTTCATAGAAAAGAAAAAAATGAGTTAAAATTAATGTTAAAAGTTGCAAATTTTAAGTAGTAAAATAAATGTTGTTTTTTTCTATTCTAAACATTAAATTTTAAACTTAATGTACGATGAAAATATAATTTTTCCATACTTAAAAAAAATTATTTCTCTAATTTGGATTTCCATTTATATAATTGCTAAAAAGCTACAATCAAACTAAAGCTTTAATGGACAGTTTTCCATTTTTCGAGATGGCTCAATCTATAAAAAAAATGTGAGATGAGAGATGATCAAAGTAAAAATATCATTTAAAAGTGCTAAATTTTTTGTTCACTTAAAGACATTTATTATTTCACTTCTTGACAAAAATATGTGATTGTTGTATGTACAAAAACATTAAAATTATAAAAAGATAAAATGAATATGTCTGTGTGAGAGAATATTGCAGAATCATTTTGAAATCAAAGTGATTTCAATTACAGTTAGTTCATGAATTAAAAAAATCTATTGCTCATCTGTGTTTCTTTGTTTGGCATTTAAACTAAAATATCGCTGTTTTTATAGAAATTAAGATAAAACGGTAAAATCCTAAAAAAATCAGTTTTTTCATCATTCTAATTTGATTATATTTATTTTGAATATTACAAACTACACGAAAAACCACCATACACATCAAACAAAATGTTCTGACGATTTTATATATTTTTGCCTTGCATGAAAATGGGATTGAAGGAAGAGTAAAAAAATGTTTTCCCTCTGACAATATATTTGGATTTTGGAGACAAAATTCGACTGAACTTGACACACATTAATTTATGGAGTCATTCGTTAGAAATTGTTTAAGCGGCGCACACTCTTCGTGATTGTCGATATAGAATATAGATGTATATAATGTGTGAATGTGATTCGAATGAGTTCATTGTGATTTTTATATACAAATGCAAAGAAAAAAGATTCCAAAAGAAAAGAATTCAATAAAATTTCTTCATTTCTTGCACATAAGTCGACCAATCACTTGAAACATTCGGTAAGGGAATGCTTTTTTTTCCCGTGTTGCACCGTTTAACTTCAATTTCGTTGTTGCGTTTTTTGTGCATTGAGAAAATGGAAACTTATTAATATTAACCTATCGGTCTATATTTGCGTAAGCAAACAACTTCTTGATGTTTTTTTAAATAACATTGTTCGAATACTACTCGAGATTCATTTCCTATACCAGTTTAAACCTAGGTATTTTGTAAAAATGAAACTTTAAAATACAATAGTAAGCATATTAGTCTTTTTTTTCATTTGTTGCTGTTGCTTTTTCACCTCTCACTTTTTTTGCTATCAATATTACTTTATATATCAATATTTCGTCGTTATTCATTTCATTCACTTATGCTGATATCTCTCAGTAAAATTCTAATTAATTATACCTAATGTTTATTATTTTTTAAATTTTATTGGCTCAATACTCGTTTAAAAAAGATCGAGCAAATTTTTTAAACGGTTTTTCGTTAATTTATGGATAATTTCTGAAGTTATGGGAAAATAATGAAACTCTTTTAATATCGTGATTTATGTTTGTGTCTCGTGTATTTAATGACTTAACATAATCTTAGTATGTTTTTTTTTCGTTTCTTTAAATGGGTTCAATATATGATATTCTGTTTAGTCGTTACGGCATTATTAGCTGTTGCAGCAACAATTTTCTCTCCCAAAATCATTTGTATTTCTGCATATTTACATATTTTATTTGTTTTTTTAGCTTAAACATTGAAGATTCTCCGGTATTCCGTTTGCTTGTTTTTTATTTATTTTAATTTTTTTAATTAATTTCTATTCAATATTTGTGAAATATGAGACTGCAAGATCCTACACTAAAAATCATATGTATTTTACTTTAGCATTATTATTGTAATTATATTCATAAATCTGGCCGCAATTTATTCGTGCCCTCGGATAAATCAATTTTTATCATGGACGTTAGGAATGTCCCGCCTAAAGAACATAGTCAACATTATTGTGGTTTAATTTAATCGCTCATCTCTCTTCTCCTTAAGTCTGGAAATAAGAATTCGCTGTATGCTTTAAATGGACTGCTAAAAAAGAGCAACTTTTATTATCACAATAAGCCCATTTCCGAAGAGACCAAGCGATAGTGCCAAGGAAAAAAAATCATATCTAGTATGGTAGTGTACTGTATATAGGTGATCGTTTAATCAAATGATTCCGGGCTCAAATGATTCCGGGCTCAAATTTGTTCCCACATTTTTAAGTAAATTTGAAAGTCAAGTATTACAACATTTTAATGTTCATTTTTATTAGTAATCAATTGTATGTGAAATTTGTGTATTTAAAAAGCTCATTGAACTTTCGCGTGAATTTTCGAATTTTATGTCTTCATTTTTTGACAAAATAAAAATGTTCGCATGTCTTGACAAGAGTTTTTTCTTATTATTGTTTCTTCTTTTTTTTTCGTTTTCACTTGAATATTGTACAGCTTAGCTTCCCTAAATACTCATATTGTTCGTAAGATGATGATGTTACAGCCAGTTTAGATGATGCATAGGTTAATTCGTTGATCTGTTCCTTAGCGATGACATTTGTTTCTTACGAGTGGTCAATGTTGGATCAATTATGTTGCTTGGCAATACCTATGGAAATGGCTGCATTATCTAATTAAGATATATTATGATCTACGATCATAATACAATAAATATGTTTTCATTGATTCGGGCAATTGCAATTGATGCACGCTGCTGTCCAATCGTTCACGGCCGATTTTTTGTCGAATAACTCGTCTACAGAGATCCATCAGTGGGAACGGTTCAGCTAAAAATTTGAGATGAATACAAAAAAAAAATTATTATTATTGATGACTTTTTATTGCTATTTATTGTTTTCATTATTATAGTTCTAAACTACTAATATAATTGATCAAAAGTAAGTAGAAATTTAACACATTTAGCACTGATTGAAAATTATATGTTCGAATGAAAATTTTAAACGTCAAAATGCACAAGTAATTCTCTTGACATCAGTTGATTCACGTAATAGAAATAATAAAAAATATTGACGAAAGATATCCATTCTGTTCAAAGGTTTACCTTGAACTTTGTGAGGAAAATGGGGGTAAAAATATTCCAAATCATCGAAAAAATAAGAAAATGTAACCAATACAGTTTTTTTACGAACGATCAATGCAGAAGACAATAAATAATCATTTCTTTAAATTGAATAGAAAAATATCGCACGAATTTCAATTTAAAGAACAATGTGATCGCTCACATTAACAAGCCACAGATTGCGGTGTGAAATGTGAACTAAGCAGAAAACTACATTTGAAAAAACAATTGAATTTTATTGAGCTCGAATACAAGCAAATGTGAATCATTTGCATTCAATAATAATGTATTTGTATAGAATTTTCACACATTACTTTGCCATTATTAATTTGCAATTAAAATAATTTAATATTGAAGCCAGAAAATAAACGTATGTAAACGTATGGGTACAATGTGATACCAGTGTATGAGTTTGGTCGTTAAAATATTTGGCTCAATCGAATCAATTAATATCAAAAGAAACGAAACACAAATTAGATCATATGAAATAAGAATTGAAAATTGTAATTTATAATTACAATATGATCAAATTAGCTTGGATGCATCAATTTATCCTACATATTTGAACCTGAGCTTTGTATTGAAATCGGAGTGATTTTCTTGAAAGTAAAAAATCAGCATTCAATACTTCAGGGCAATTTTTGAGTCGCTATGTTCTTTTTTATAAAAAATGGCTTATTAGAAATTCAATCATGATATCTTATTCAAGTAATAAACCAAAAATTATAAATGTTTGTGCCCTTAAAACAACTGATTTGTTACTAAGAAATTCTTAGCCAGTCAACAATCCATATAAATACCTATATCAAATATGTATGAATTAAATTCAACACTGTTTCCGACAAATATATTTTTATTTTCGATATATTTTCTAGATCGCGACGTCATATGAAGAAAAAACACAAAACAATAAATAACAATTGCCAAATTGAATAAAGTATATTCTACTATCGTTTGTGACTCTCTGTGATTAATGTACTTCTTCCGTGGATGTCATTTCGATAAAATTAAATTGTTGATATGCTTTTACTCGATATTGATATCTGTGTTTAAACATCATGTATAAATTCTTTTAAATATATCTCTAGTAAAACTAAAAATTGAGAATTATTCAAATCAAAATTGATCAAAGCAAAGCACACTTATCTGAAAACTATTTGAATTATAAAATTTTAAATTTTTCATTTTTAAATTAATTCTGAAATTGAAACCAAAATCTTTCACGAATCTTTCAAAATTTCTTGATGAAAAATAGTTGAATTATATTTATTTATCATATTTATTTATTTATTGAAATAAACTACCAAGAGTGGTTCGGTACAGTTATTATTAAAATAATAATTGTCTTTGAAAATTGCATAAGAAACTCAACAGAAACATTCAAATTAAAATTAGTAGTGACAATTAAAACTTTGACTAAACGTTAAACGTTAAACCATTTTGCTTTTTTATGAATTACTTTAATCCTAAAAGCAAATATGGAATTAAGCAACCATAAGAAATAGCTAATTA